TCTTTATTCGTCATGTGTCGTTGTGATGATGTGTTGTGGTATTTCTTCATTTTGAATTTCATGTGTGTTTTCCAAAATTATACTTGTCAATCTTCCGTTACGCCTTGTTTTAGGCTATGTATGTTCTAGGTATGTTAACTGGTATGTATCTCTCAGACCTCGCTAGCATCAGGCCTTCTTTGAGCTTCGAGTACTGAATAACAACGATATACGGGGCTTTGCATTCTTTAATTCACACACCTCAATCATTTTCGTACTCTTCCCCATCACAATCGTTCACCTTAGGGCCAGTTGACGTAGCATGAGATGTAAACAATTAGAACTAGACTCCATATTTTAATATTTGGATATAATGTGTTCTGTCCTCTGCTATTACCTATATAATCTTAATCATATACAATAGGTATTACACGTTTTACGTTATCATATGTGAATTCCCCTCGTCTTCTAGTTGTAATGCTATTGGGATTACTTTTTGCATATCACCGTTCCAAATACATCGGTTTGTTATACGAGCTGCTCATCCAGTTTTCTATATTTTTTCTCTTAGTTTTTTTCTTGCTTCATGTTCTCTAGCGTTTTTACTATTTTTATTTTTCTTTTTTCCTTTATTTATAGTTGCTTTTATTTTTTTAGCTCCTTATTTCATGTCGTTTAGCTTTTATTAATTTGTTCACTTTTCTTTTTATTTTATTTTTTTTTTCTATTTAAATTATTTGTATAATATTTTGTATTATTTCATATAATTTTTTTCCTGGATTTTTTTAAGTTTATTTTATTTACTTATTTAAGCTTATTATTAATTGTTTTTTTATATATATTTTATAATTATTGATGTTTCTGGTGTATCTTTTTGTATGTATTGGTCATTGGGAGAGCCTTGCCTTGTTGATATGGCTGTTGCACCTGGCGGGGATTTTAGGAAAAGTCTACGTTATCTTCTATATATGTATAGGTGTTTTTTTTATTTAACTTTGTTCAATCGATTCTAATGCCGCGGAGCTTATTAGAGTAAATCGCCGATTCTGTGGCGCTCTCTTTCTTATATTTCATGGTTCTACAGACGAGTCTACCCCTCTCTCTCTCTTTCAATTTCATATCGATTTATCATTATTTTACTTATACTTATAATACTATTTATTACTATATTACTCTTACTTATTATATAATATTTATTAACCTATATATATTATATTTTAATTATGTGCTGATGTTTTGTTTCTTTTATCTTTATTTATTTGTTTATTATCTTTCTATTTTTTTATCGTTGTTTGTGTTGTTATTATTTTTGATTATCTTGCCTTGCTTATTTGTAATTTGTGATTTGTGTGTGCGTGCTATTTTGTGATTGTCGTGCTGTGATATATTTTATTCATTATTATCATTACGTTCTGTGCTTTTTACTTTATTTTTAGATAAATGTGTGTCGTGAACTGCGCATGTAGATTAGTGCGTGTACATGCAGATTATCATCTAGATACGGGCCTATTACTATTTATATAATTATATTAGTTATATATGTATTTTATTATTACTTTTATATTTATTTTACCTCTTTATTTATATTATATTATATATTATTTACTTGTATAATTTATATATTTGTCATACTCTATTATATTATAATAATTATCTATATATATATTATTTATATATATTTATATAAATTATTAATATTATTTTTATTTTATTTATATTATTATATTATATAATATATGATTATCTTAAATACATATTTTATAATTATATGACTACAATATAGTATGATCATATTATTATATCAATTTCTTAATTTAATTATATATAATATTAATATTTTTACGTTTTTTTTTTATGTATAATATATATATCTAATATCTTTTATTACTGCTATAGTATCTACTTCATATATATTATATACAATACCTCCCTTTACATACATTTCTACTATTATATCTCAGTATATTATACTTACCCTTTTACTTATTATTATATATTTTAATATTTATACATTGCGTAATTATACTATTTATCCGTATTTTATAATAATTCTATAGTTTTAATCTAATTTTTATATACATTATGATATATAGTATTATTAGTATATATTTTATTATTATTTAATATATATATATATATATATACACTATAAATATATGCTGTTTGTGATGCGTGTGTATCTGTGTGTGTGTGTTGCTGCTGTGTGATGTGTGTGTTGTGTGTGTGAATGTGTTAGTGTGTTGTGTGTCTGTGTGTGTGCGTGTGCGCGTCGTGTAGATGCTGTTCTGTGATGTGATCGTGTGTAGTGTCTGTTTGTGTGTGCTTATCGTATTATATTATTACCCGTACATAACAATATTTTAGGTATAACGTACTTTGGGTCATATACTCTAATTTATATTCGTCAAGTAATATATCATATTATCATACATACATGCTATATATATATTATATATATTATTTATATTATCTAACGCTTTCTTTAATTAATATATATATATATATTATATCATTTAATTATATTTTATTATATTTAAAATATTTATTATATTATTTATATATATGTATTATCTTATATCATAATAGGTTACTTATATATATATTTAGTTATATAGTTATATTATTTATCTATTAAATTAAAACTCGTATTATATATTAATTTATTTATATAGGTAGTATCTATATTACATTTAATATTGCTTATACACACACACCCACACACACACACAACACCACACACACACACAACACAGTTGTAAATCTGATATAATTTATTAAATTCTTATTTTAGTATATATTTACTATATATTATCATAAGTGACATTTATTTAATATTTACTCATTATTTCACTATATTATATTTATGACTTTCAGCTTATTAATAAATATTACGTATTTTAGTACTATTATTACATTGTTCTATATGTGTGTTGTGAGTGTGTGTGTGGGTTGTGTGTGTGTATGTGTGCTGTCTGTGTGTGTGTGTGTGTGTTGTGTCTGTGCTGTAGTGCATTGCATGTATATTGATATTTTATCTATATTTAATAACATCCTTATGTAATTATATTAACTATTTATATGAATTAATTATCATAGAGTTTATTATATCTATCTTATCATATATTTTAATCATACGTATAATTTTACTTATCTGACTATTATTAATTATATACAGTGTGTACTATAGATCACAAAAAAAGCTATTTTATAGGAGATCCATACTAACATACCACACACACAAACACAACGCACACGACACACACACACACACATCACACACACACATCATCTACACCACACACATCACACACACACACACACACACCTCACACACCACACAAACGCAAACACAAAACACACCCACACACACAGCAAACACACACACAACACAAAAAAGAAAACACACACACACCACAATAACAACACACACAATCACACAATCATCATCTATACACACACATGGACAACAACACATCAACACTAAAAACACACACATTACACAACACACACATCAACACATCGTTACCTTTCCATATGAGAGTAGTACGTCTCCTTTCTTGCAATAGCTCTGATTCGCCGAAGTCCCGCTGGTTTTACATAGGCTCATTTGATGGTCATTTGTTTGTTTACACAGGAATCCTAGACACGCATCGTCGGTGTGAATTGTATAATTTCCGTTTATCATATTTCTTGATATCGTGTGCAGTCTTTGCCTCGGTAAAGACATTCTATACCTTTGAAAAAGTATTGGGTATTTCGTCTTGAAGAACTCTCACAAGGAGGATTATTATGTGACGAGAAGAAATGTCTTTAGAAATGTAGATTGGCTTACTAATTATCAGATTTCGATGAGTATGTTGGCATTTTCCTGAAATATGTTTTTATGTGAAAATCAATGTTCTTTGTTTATAATTTAATAAGCAGTATGTTTTTTGGGTTAGATTTGCTTTGTGTTGTGTTGTTTTTGTTGTCCTTTGTGTTGATTTGACTTTTAAAATAATACAAGAATCAGATTTGCACGAAAAAGTGTAAGCTGGGTTCACATTTCCTGTTACTGTTTCCTCATTCTTCCCTTATTATATTTTTCGTTTTTTTTTTCTTCTTCTTCTTTTTGTCTGTTGTTAAGTTAGACATTTCTTCGAATATTCAAGTGTGTGATGTGATACCTCTATTGCATGTATATTTTTTTAATTCTCTCTTCTTTGCCAAGTAATAAGAGACTTCTAGAAAAAAAAGTAAATCGCCAGAGTTAAACCACTTTAATTATACATAATAACGTACATTTCTTTATTATCTATATATACATAATGAATTAACTGGGAATGTTGCACTTGTGTAAAAACCTATG